TGTGAAGTGAGACCTTTGAAATTCTATTATTGTATGACTCGTATAGCTTCGAAGTACGGACCGAAAACTGGACACCTGTGATTCATATAAAACAAGTGAATTTTGTGTAGGCAGCCCACTGTAACCATTTTTATTTTACAAGCGATAAAATCTGTTCTATTTAGTTGCTGTAAATAAGAATCACTTGTCGATAGATATATCCGGCAATTTAGCTTTTGGCAAAATAGCGCTATTTATAGAATATTGTTGTAAATATTATTTGAAACTAGTTCTAAAAAGCATTCTGCCTCAATGATTATGTTTCAACTTAATGAATAAGAATTCAGAGCTATTTAGATAAAATGTTCAATTGTGTATTTCAAAAGTAATAGTTTTGTTTTCCCAAAAAAATACGATACGATCGATACGATTTTCAATTGATATAAGATACTTATAATATCTGTAATTGTATACAATAAATTAATTTGTTTAACCCATTTCCTATCATTAATTTTGTATTTGTATTTTGATTTGTATTTTATTGAAGTGTGGTCGTCAACAGTGATCAGTAGATCTATATAGTAGATCAGTGATCTACCTACGAGACACCAAAAAAACTTACATATGCATCGGCACAGATTCTGATTAGAATAGTTCAAGCGCATGGCGAAATTATAAATAATAAACTAATTTTTATCCTTTCATCAAAATTGTCAAAAAAAACTTATTTCAACATTTAATTACGAAGAAAACGTCGGCCAACGTCAGCCTATCTTAACCAAAACTAATCATCGCGATTCTCAACCAATATTTTTCATACAGTTTTTTAATTTTCCAAATAGGTTCAAAATTGTGGGCCATCGCACAAAACTGATAAATGCGATATCGAGTTACATCAGTGGCTTTTAAATTTTTGAAATTGATCAAAAATCAACTGACATCTCACTTACACAAACAACATAAAAAAAACATAAAATTAGTAATTCGGATTTTTTCGCGAAAACTCCTTCGAGAAATTAAAAATTAGTGAAAGTAGTAAATTTAATAAATGCAGTGAACTGTTTTGTTTTATTTTACTATAACGTAACTCCTAAATTTCCTAAGCTCTCGTTAGTACCATCATGTAAAATATAATAAATTTTAATGAAAAGCGTCAATATTTTCAGATTATTTAATTAATTATATATTAATAATTGATTATTATTCACATCAAACACTTCCACTTGTGGTGACATTTTTTGGTTATGATATATTGATATCAAAAAACATTATTGAATTATTAATATGAATTCTGAAATATAATACTGAAACATTTTTGTCATATTATGAAAATATAAAATAAAAATTATATTCAACCGATATGAATAGTTATCAAAAATTTTTAAGAAATTTCAAAATTAAAAAATAAAATAAAAAATATGGTTTTTAAAAAAAAATCCGTTTTCAAAAAAGACAATGTTTTCTCTATATTCAAATTTTTCAAATGTTTTCAAAATTTTCAAAAATTCTCTCAAAATCACGATTTCTATTTACTGCACTCTGATCTTTATTTCCGTAACGGCTGGACCTGCCTTTGCCAAAAACTAAACAGCTTATCTCCCTATCAATAGGAATCGAATGCTTTTTGAACCATTCAAATCGGTTAATTCGTGCTCCCGAAAACGTGACTGGAAATTTATATCCATACATACATACATACACACACACACACGTCAGTTTTTTCTGAGGTATGCCAAAATGTTCAGAAACCTTCAAAACGTCGAGAAATGTAAAAATTTTCAATTTTGATTTTCGGCCGCCATTGCAATAACTTATCCTACGGGAAGTTAACAAAAAATTTGCGTTTTCAAAAAATATCAGTATTTTCAAAAAAGTCAATGTTTTCTTTATATTCAAATTTTTCAAATGTTTTCAAACTTTTAAAAAATGTTTAAAAAAAACAAACTAATTTCTCAAAAAAATCTAATTTTTCTTATCTTAAATTCAAAATTTCAATCAACGGTACGGGAAGGTTTATTCAACCGATATGAATGGTTATCAAAAACTTTCAAAAAATTTCAAAATTAACAAATAAAATAAAAAATATGGTTTTTAAAAAATTTCCGTTTTCAAAAAATATCAGTATTTTAAATTTTTTTCTATATTCAAATTTTTCAAATGTTTTCAAAATTTTATAAATGTTAAAAAAACAAAATTCTCAACAAAATCTAATTTTTCATATATTAGCTTTTAAACATTTCAAACTACTGTACGGGAAGTTCTAGCAGTTTGTATCGTTTCCAACGATGCCATGCATCAATAGTTTTATTTTTATTTCTTAATGCAACTCAAAAAAATTTACCGTATTTTGGTTGTTTGCAAGAAGCATTACACTTAAGTTTATTAAAATAATTGTTATTCAGAAAAGTAATTAAAAAAATTGGCTTTCGCTTCAGTAGTAACATAAATTTCACAAATCAACCTTTGAACACGAACAATGAAAAAAAAATAAACTTATTTTACTTAGTAATTGATTTAAGAAAATGAATATTTAATATATAATTTTTGTCAATTCCGTATGAAACAGTTGTTTTAATTTCCACTTGCATTAGTCAACTAATGTTGCTATTCTGTTTAGATGCGAGTTGCGCGTGAATGAATTGATGGCCACGCTTAATCGCCAATCCAGCGAAATAGCTCAACTTACCGCCGATCTGGAGTTGGCAACCCAGGCCCCGCCGGAGCCAGAGCCAAACTGGTCGCAACGAGTCGTTACCATACTTTCTGGAGCACCGTTAGTCGCTGTCCATGCCATCGCTTCGCAAATGTTACCCGCTCTACCCCCGCCTGGAATTATAGGGCTCTAAATTATTCAGTGATTTTTAATTTTTAATTGCAACTGACGGTTTTTACGAGAAAATTCTTATCAGTTAGTATTAATGAATGATTTCAATAAATCAAAGAATATTTTATACCCAGATTATGAAATTACGAATAAGTTTGAGAGATTAATTTTTATTTCACCTTTTGGAAGAGCTATCATATTTTTTTTTTAATTTATCTGCAACCTGTGTACTTGAAAATATGAAAATATGAAAAAATACTAGTATTCAAACAATAAATATGTATAAATAATAAATAAATTGTAGTTTTGTATATTTTTATTGGGCTCAGTTTTGGTTTGACTATAGGAGTTAATATTATTTTATTCATTTTATCAATTATAGAGCATTTGACACAAATGAATTATCAAAATTTCAGAAAGAGTTAAGAAAACTTATATTGTATGCAGATTTTTCATACCGCATTGATTTTCATTTTTACAATAACTATTATATTTAATGTATATGCCATAGTTTCTAGATTACACAAAAATAGAACTACAAAAATTCTAATATTACCTAAAAGAAATTAAATCTAATTGCAATTGTTTTTCTGGTTATATTTTACATTATTTTTCATAATTTTTTATAATATACCATGATTTTGGCAATGGATTAAAGTAATTGCTGATTACATATCAATATAAATATGTTGTCAGAAAAAAACAAAAATTTGATTTTTTTTTTTAATATTACAGATATTAATTTTTGAATATAATGTAAAATATACTTCTGATTGATGTTATTTTTATAAATTAATTTTATTTGATTCATTTTATGTTTTATGATAATTGGGTCATTAAATACACAATTTAAATACAAAATTTTAAATCTTTGTGCACTATATATTTGTATTATTTTTATAAACTTGTTTTATTATTTTGAAATATATAATTTATTAACTTCCCGTAGGGTAAGTTATAGTAATGGACCGAAATTCAAAAATGAAGTTTTTTGCATATCTTCACGTTTCAGAGGTGTATGAATATTTTGGCATACCTCAGAAAAAATAGATGTGTGTGTTTTGCATGTCCGCATTTTTGGGCCACGTTTTCGGGCGCACGGATTAACCGATTTGGATGGTTCAAAAAACATTCGATTTCTATCGACAAGGTGCTGATTAGTTTTTGGCCAAAGCAGGTCCAGCAGTTACGGAGATACGGAGCAAAGAGCGCAGAAAATAGAAATCGAGGTTTTGCGATAACGGAGTATCCGATTTGAATGATCCAAAAAATATTCAATTTGTAATGATTGGGCGAAGTGGTAATTAGTTTTGACAAAGGTAGGTCTAGCCATTTCGAAGATACAGATGTACAAAAAATGGCAGTTTTTGAGAGAATTAAGCATCCGACAAAAAAATTGCTTTTGGAAAAAAAATATTTCAATTTTTTCCATTTTTTTTTTTTGGTATATCGAAAATAATTCAGATTTTAATTTTAATTTACGCTAAAATTCTAAAGCTCACTAATTACTTTAAATAAATAATTTTAACTTTGAAATTTACTTTATATAATTCTTATAAATAGTAGACAATGTTACAATATTTATAATCTCTAACATTTCATTACGATACGGGAAGTTCCAGCAATTTACCTTAAGGCACGATGCCATACACTACTAATTTAACTTTTTAATTTAATCGTTTCTGTACATATTAACAAATAAGTAAAATCAATTTGCTTTGCGGATTTTTTTTAATTATTTACATGTATAATGCCATACGATGTTAACGATTATTTCAAACAATATAAGTATTGTATAATAATATAACAACTGAAAATTGAACTCTGCATGACTAATTCTATTTTGGTTTTATCAAAAAATTTAAAAAAAAAACTCAATAAAGAAAACAATATGATGTAATACTGATGAAAGCATTATTATATTTTATAAATATGTAACTACATTCTTTATAAGTAGAGCAGTAAAATTAATAAATTATTTATTTGTTTTGAATATTTTTTAACATTTTTTGTTTATTTATTCCAATTTTACATATTCTATGTTTTGAAAATAGCGGTCCTAATGATGGTATTGTTGATTATTATCTGGCTAATGTTGGTACGCACTACTCGGAATGTCTAGTGTGAAGTTACTAACATATTTTTTGACTTGTTGGTTATGATAATAAATATTATTGATTGTCAAATTATATATATTGTTTCTTAACAAAAAAGGGTAGTTAAATTGAATTTTCGCCGATAGAAAAGTAATTAATCGCTTTTTTATAAATCATGGGTTCAAGTACCAAAAAACATAAGAAAGATAAGGATGTTTCAAGAAAGAGGAGGCACCATTCTCGTTCGAGGTCTAGATCTCGTTCTTTAGAACCTCCAGAAAAATATAAGCGTGAACATAAGAAACATCGTCATGATAAAAAACGCGAAAAACATGATAGAAGGCACTTGGATTATGAAAGTGCAGGTAATTTTCCATGGATTTATGCTCCTAATATCGAGAACTGACAACAAGCATTTCATTGTATAACTGTACCTTTTGCCTTGTTGAGGTTCTCGATGTATATCATCTGTACAAAATATTAGCTGTGTTTTGGTTGATTTCAGAATTGGATTGAAAACATCTAAAGCAGGATTCTGTCAAATCAAAATGGAATTATCGATTTGAAGTCAATATTCCTTCTGTGTTCTTTGTCGAACTAATAATTAAGTTTAATATGAAGTTTGCTTAATAGTGGAGTAACGTTAGTTGTAAAGGTGGAAAATCTAGGATGAGATCCCAGTGAGTAGTCTTGGGCGTATTTGATGGAATTGATTTAATCCAATTAATAACATGTTTATATTTTTTTTTATCATTCAATATTTCTGATCAGAAAATGTAAACTAAGTGAATGGCATTAGGTGCATGCCAACAGCAAATTGTATGGGATGCAGCATTTGATTGCCGGTTAATCGGCAAATGCCTGAAATTTTATTGCATCTCACAGGTTGAACTATATGATTAAATTATTTCATAATATGCGAGCATAATTGATAACTTGATCACAATCATAAAAATGGTGAACTATAGCTTTTTCAATGAGTATTTGAGTGACAGTGCCTCTTTCTCAAACTTTTATTTTAAGATGAAACTTTTTTTTATAAAAAAATCGAAATAAGTCAGCTTTAATTTCATTTTCTTATGAATCTATGCTAAAATTTACAATGTACAATCTTATTTAATGCTACTATTCTGAGATGTGAATTAAAACTTACAAACATGTGATTAGTTTTGCAACTTCTTACAATTTCAAAATGATTATTTATTTAAAATATTGACAATATAGATATTGAGAACTGTCTTGCATATATATATATATATATATATATATATATATATATATATATTAAATTAAAAATATTAACAAACAGCACTCTTTTTGCACTAATTTATTAAATAATGTTAATTTTAAAAATTAAATTAAATCTAATTTAATATTTAACCACTCAAAATACATCTGTTATATACATGTATATATCTTGATAGTTTTTTCAACATTGAAATATATTTGAAAATAATTAGGAGCAAATTCGTCAAATAAAAAAGTAGTTAAAAGAAAAACATATATTAATTTGAGGTTTCGACACTGATGTGTGTCATCATTCAGCAATTTAAAATACAATGATATGAATAGAATTATATGGACATTAATCAGTTAAATTAAATTATATTAATGAGTTCATTTATGTCCATATAATTATACTCATTATTATTTTATTTTAAATTGCAAAATGATCTCACATATTAAAGCATCGAAACATTTAATAAAGAATGTTTTTCTTTTAACTCTTTTTTAACATATTATAATACTTGTACTTAAGTACTAGTATTGATTCACAAGGATATGAAATTTGAAAATGCTAAATTCAGTATAGTAAATAATTCACTGAACATTAAGTATCATAAGATTCATAGTAATTTTTTGATTGCAAAAAATTCTTAAAAAACTTAAGATTAGTATTGTTTGGATTTGAAACTAAATTTTTTCAATGAATACCAATTTGCTAAGTTAGATAAAGCAATGTGATACAAGATTTGAAAGTTTATTTATGAAAATTGAATTGTGACATGTGACATTTATGTAATTTGTAAAACTCAAACATCTCTGTTTCTAACGTTACTCCACTACATGAAATGTTTATTGACCGTATGAGGAGAACTATAACAGTTTTTATTATATAATTAATTTTTGTTGATAGATTCAGATTGTGTAGAAGTACCACCAGCACCACAAATTTCAGCACATTCACCGCCAACACCACCTTCACCTCCAAGATGTAGAAGTTTTAATGATAAATCAGAAGATGAAGAGGGTAATGTTGGTCATAAGGAATCGCTATCAATCGAGGAAACCAATAAATTGCGTGCAAAGCTTGGACTAAAGCCATTGGAAGTTTCTTCTAACACAGGTTTGCTATAATATAGTTAAATATTAAAAAAGTTTAAGTTTTATTTAATTTATTTTGTTACAAGATGAACTGTTTTTTAGCACCATCTAATGATGGCAAAATAGTAGATGACCTAGGAGAATTTTACCATGCTCCTGCAAAGAATTTGTCTAAGACAAATACAGAGAAGAAATTAAGAGACAAATTAGAAATACGTAAAGAGAAAAGGGCATTAGAAAAGAGGTAAAATTATTTCTAAGTGGTAAAATATTTCAGTTCATAATATTGTTTCAATCGATTGGTGATTCTAAAAAATATAATCTTGATGAATTTATACATGATCTTAATTTCACATCAACACTTTCAATAAATTGTGTAGTAGTATTAATCAATATTAATTAATTTATCGTTGTTTTATAATTAAATTTTATTCAAATTAGAGTATTGTGCACTCTAATAAATTAAAATATTTATTGTTTTTATTAAAAGAAATTTTACAAATCTTTAATTTTTGTGATAAGGAATATTTCATTCAAAATTATTGCTAATTCAACTTGCTATATTTATTCAAATTACTTCATAGCATAAAATCATTTTCACAATATGAATCAAATATTAAGCCTTTTCTTACATGAAATATTTGCAACATCAGGATTATTATTCAAACCACAACCTTTTTTCAGTTGAAATGAATTTTAATTTGTGTTATTATTTTAACTTGAATTTAGATTGGCATCTGTAAAAACATTAGGTGAAAGTGATGAAGATGATGATGCTGCTGCTTGGGTTAATAAAAACAGAGAAATACAGAAACAAAAGGAAGAAGCTAGTAAACGGGTGAGTCATTTTTTGCATTGTTGGTCTCAACTATCTTGTATTTTATTTTCATATTAACACAATTACCATAGGCCAAGTTATTGGAAGAAATGGATGCTGTCTTTGGAGTTGGAGAATTGGTAGCTGAAGATCTACAATCTGATAAAAAGCGAGTATATAATGCAAAGCACTTGAAGGGACTTCGCGTAGAACATGATGCAGAAATGTTTAAAGAGGGTAAAGATATCATACTTACCCTTAAAGACCAGGACATATTGGAAGATCAAGGAGATGCTCTTGTGAACGTTAACATCCTTGATGATGAAAGATATATAAAGGTTAATTTACACTCAAATTAATTTGAATTTATTTAACAATTTATAACATCATAATTTCTTTTTTAGAGCAATGAGAATAAAAAGCAGAAGCCCAACCAATATGGGTATGATGCTTATGATGATACAATTGATCCTGAGAATCGAACATTGCTTGCTAAATATGATGAAGTAATAGATTCTGATAAAAATATTGCTAAAAATACATTTACAATTGGTGAAAAAATTGAAAAACGAAATACTATAGATTCTGTTAAAGCAAAACTAAATAACAAAAGATTAGAAAGTTTGAATTTGCCAGAACTTAAGTTGGCTTCAGAATATTTTACTCCAGAGGAAATTGCATTCAAAAAACCAAAGAAGAAAGTTAGGAAGATTAGGCAAAAACCTAAAATGTTGAAAGCCGATGATTTGCTTGCCATGGATAATTCAAGTGAGTATCATATTTATGCCATGTGCTCATAGTATCCTTTTTTTAGAAGCATTAATCGATTAATGATTCTTAGAAATAATATCTAAATAATATTTTCTCAATTTTAATAAACGCGTTTCCATATAAAATAATGTGAATGATGCTCGTTAGTATTTGCAGTTTTTATGACTAAAAGGTAAAGGTTTTGTTTTTAACTTTCTACAATAAATTTGTATGCATCATTATATATGTTAGGAGATAATAAAATTATATCTCATTAATATTATCTCTACAATTATAGACTTGTGAAAAAGGATGTGAACAAATAAATCAATAAAACTTTTATTATTTTTGATGATACTATTTTCATTAAAATTGAAAATGGTCAGTAATTGGGTTAATTGTAATAGCAATGAAACCATTATGAAATTTTTGTTAGTTACTACTTAATTAAATAAAGTCTAAATATCATATGATGTTGATAAGTAAATCTTTTATTTCAGATAATTCATGGTTGAAAGATTTGGGGCATAGGAGGCCTAAGCCAGAACAAGATGTTCTCATTACTGATGATACAGGTAAATAATTAATTCAATCTATTATGAAACATCAATATATAAGTATTACTTTATTGCTTACAGATGTTCCTACAGACATAAAAGACATAAAATTTGAACCAGAAGTTGACAATGAGCTTGAGTTAGCTCTGAGCAAAGCAAGAAAATTGAAACAACAAGAAGGCCCTCGAATTGCACCCTTAGATGTTAAAATTGAAATAAAAGAAGAAGCTCCTCTGGATGGGGCCATTGTTCTGAATTCTACAGCAGAATTCTGCAGATCACTTGGAGAAATTCCTACGTATGGTCTTGCTGGAAATAGAGATGAAGAACCAAATGATTTGATGGTATGAAGGGCTTTGATTTTTGTGATAGAGTGTTTGTGATTTCATTATTTTCAATTGTTTATTACATATCATTATTGATGCTATATTTTTGTCTACCTCTCTCTGGTTTATCTGTATTATATATAATCAGTGATATAGCGATTTGTGATATATAATCATACAGAATCAGTTATTCATACAAATCAATGAAATTATTTATTTCATTTGGGCTTATTTTTTTTATTATCCCATAGTTGATTAAAATAATTTTTTTTATTAGCTATTAATCAATCAATCAATGATTTTGCTACTTAATCAATTTGGTTTTATTTCTAATCATGTATTAAATATATATATATATATATATATATATATATATATATATAATATAATATAATGCTAATAGTAAGGTCACTAATTACCTTTCATACTTTACCTTAGGAATATGAACCAAGTGCATCTCCCCCGCATGTCGAAACAAATACAAAAGAAGGCTCTTGGTCGAAAGTCACTGACAAACCAGAAGTAGCACCACCAGCTCCTATTATTACAGCTCCCATTTTGGAAGATGAACCAAATATTGGATGGGGAGTTAGCGGCGCCCTCAAATTAGCTATGAGCAAAGGTTATTTAGAAAAAGAAGATCAAAACAGGCCAAGTAGCTCCAGATTTGCTCACCTTCAAGCTAAGAATTATTCTATTGAAGATAAAAGTTTTGGGTATGTATATAAGTATATAAGTTCTGATAATAAAAAGAAATATATAATAAATTTTTAACATCTGAGAAAAGATGCACTTGCATTAATAATATGTATACATATAGAGCAAATATATATATATATATATATTATATATATATTATATATTATATATATGTGATATTATAAAAGGGATGACGAGAAATTTGGAGGCCGCAGAGAAAGATATGCTGGACCTACCACAGATTTTAAAGAAAAAGATGGGTTTAAACCAAATGTGAAATTGGACTATATAGATGATGATGGGCATGTACTGTCTGCAAAAGAAGCTTTTAGATACTTATCACATAAATTCCATGGAAAAGGACCAGGAAAAAATAAAGTAGAAAAGAGAATTAAGAAAAATGAACAAGAAGGCGTAAGTTGTAATATTGTGTATCCTTTACCCAAAAATACAATTGCATTTATATGATATTTACTTTTTGTTTTGCAGTTAATGAAGAAAATGAGCTCTACAGACACACCTTTAGGTACTTTAGGAATGCTTCAAGCTAAGCAAAAAGAAACACATTCTGCTTATGTGGTTTTGAGTGGAAATAAACATATGCAAGGAACAACAATAATAAGCAAGAATAAAAGATAATGTGTTAATGAATTATCTTACATCCGATATTCAAAGGCAAAGTAATATTGTAACTATTCAAAATTGTATTTAGATTTTTACCTGAAATATTATGTTTTTTTAATTTGTATTGATAATCCTTTTTTTGTAAATGTATTGATATTGGCCTTGTATTTAAATTTATGATTATTATTATTATTACCTAATACTGCAAGATATGACATTTTAATACAATTTCAATTGTACCATTTGACTAGAAATATACAATACTATTTACAAATTGATATTATATTAACATTGTACATTTTATCAAGTATTTTAAGTTATATCACATCATTAGGTCATACATTTTCAAAACAATATTCAACAATAAGAAAATTTCTACTTAAAACAATATATTTCTTCACTTATTGTTAGATAACATTCTGTAGAAACTTTTGCAATTTTAGATAATGGTGAATAATTACAATTTTTTTTTTTTATACTTCAAATTGTATTTGTACTTGTACATTATAATTTACATTTCCCAAGTCTCTTCGGATCACAAGCAAATATTTTATTAGAGAGCCAATTCGAGTTACATTCTTTGTACCTAAATTGATAAAATGTTATGCTGCTGATACTTAAGGGGGGTATTCTGGTTTGGACAAAAAATGCAATGTTTGAAGAAGGGCAATAAAGAAAAGATAAACAATATTTTTTCTATATCTTCTTTTACAAGTTATAGTGTTTTGAGAATATAAAAAATAAATAAAAATTAAAAATAGCATTATCGTAGGGGATGAAGTGGGGGGTCTCAAAAAATTGGTGCTTGACCATACTGATGATTTTGGCTCTCCAAATAATCCAAGGAGAAAAAAACAAGTTTTACACAAAGTAGCGGCTTTTTTACAATTTATTTATTATAACTGCTTTTTATGCAAAAATAGTGAAAATCATAATTTATGTATGATCATAGTTCAAACTGAAAAGAAATGAATAATGATGAATGAAGAAGACTCTTTAACTTTAGTTTCAAGTAAATCGGTCCAGTAGAAATTCAGAAATCGTGGGTATCGTATTGAAAAAGACAGTTTCGACAAAAACGTGTTTAAAGTTTTGCGAAGGAAGGAAACACAAGAGGATTATCGCCTTCAAACAGCTATATCTTCCAAAATATTTTAAATTTTTGGAAAATCCTTTTGTACACATATTCTTGAGTATATAAACTTTGAAAGAATAAAAAAAACTATTTTTTAACTTTCCGTAAGGTAAGATATAGTAATCGCAAAAAACTCGGAAATGAAAATGTTTATATATGCTTACGTTTCAGAGGTTTCTGAGCATTTTGGCATACCTTACAATTAGAAAAAATTGATGTATGTGTGTGTGCGGATACAAATTTTCGTCGACGATATCCGGAACAACGTTCAACCGATTTCAATTATACAAAAAAGATTTAATTGCTGTTGATAAGGAGATGTGCTGATTAGTTTTTGGCAAAGGCAGGTCTAGTCGTTTCGAAAATACGGGGCAAAAAGTGCCACAAACTGTGCCTCTGTTTTCAAGAGGGCAGAGCGCCCGATTTTAATAGATCAAAAAAACATTTTACTTGTATTGACAAAATGAAGAACTGATTAAATTTTCGAGAAGGCAGATCTAGCGGTTTCGGAGATCTAGTGAAAAAAGTAAAAAAAATGCCATTTGGAGGTCAAAAATAATCATTAGACATAGGGACATCAAATTATCAGATATTTTATGGAGATTTTAATAATACGTATAAATTTTATTTACATTTACATGGGTTCCGTAACATCGTTTGTCCGTTAGACGGCGACACGGCGCTTACGCGCTTCGATATTTTGTCTCTATAGAGATTTTTGAGAAACTTTAAATTTTTGACAAAAATTTACTTTTTTGGAAAAAAAGACTTTTTGAAAAAAATGTCTCTTTTATTTTGAAATATTTTGGAAATTTTGAACTTTTTTTCAAAGCAATCGTACTGCTTTAACTGCATATGCAGTTAAAGCAGTTTGACAAAAATTTAAAGTTTCTCAAAAATCTATTTTTTTCAAAGTAATTTTTTTTTTCAAAAATGTTAATTTTCTTTTAAAAAAATATTTTTTAGTACAGGAATAAGTTCGAGAACTTTGTCTTAAGGCACGAAGCTATACACCACTAGTTTTTTTTAATGAATGAAATTTAAATAGTTTACAATTAGAGACTTGTTCACGGGTATATAATTACAAATGACCTTAATCTAACAACTTGAATGTGCAAATTTCAAGTAGAATCATTATAAGTAAGAAAATAAGTACTTACTTAAGGGTAAAAACGTCTAATAATTAATTAAATTTTCAACTTTAGTACTATGTACGTATAAGTAAAGTATCGTCATTATTTATTTATTTTTTAAGTACATTCATCATCATTAATTATTAGCATGATGGCATGATAACGATCCATATAATGATATAATGATTTTGCATAACCGATATCGCACTGTTTGTCGTTTGACCTTCGGAGTGTTTTCTATCTCGTTTTTTATGACGGTTTAGGTTATGTGCGATCAGTTCGGCTCGCTCTTCGTTTGATCGCTTGCAATTTTACTCTACTGTATAATTGATGGCACTGATCGCTGGAAACCTTATTCGTGGCTTAGCTACTAAAGGGATAACTCGTTCACTGCATTTATCAGCAATGGCTCAGATTAAGGTAATTGAATAAATTAATCAACACAAAAGCATATGACATTTTATTTATTAAAAATACAGGTAGGCGATAAAATTCCGTCGGTAGACTTATTTGAAGACACTCCAGCTAACAAAGTGAATATTGCAAATCTCGCTGCAGGAAAAAAAGTTGTCTTATTCGCTGTTCCTGGCGCCTTCACTCCAGGATGTTCTAAGGTAAATAAATATAATTGCATAACACTATAGTTGTCTTTTTCTAAACACTAACATTTTAATTCTATATTAGGTGGTCAAATATCTCCCTTCCGCATTTTTGCTATTGGTTTATAATACAAAAAGGCGAAAGGGAGATATTTGACAACCTAATATTTTAACTCTTTGGGGACGGCTGTCCACCTGAGTGGACAAACAATATCTGTGAGGCATTTATAAACAATGACTCAGTTTGCATAGAAAAGTTGAATAAATTACATATAGCAGTGATAAACAGAGTATTGTATTTTGAAAATAATTTTAAGTTATTTTAGTAGTATTTTTAGCCTTTTTCTTTGTTATATAGTCTTTTTTTTAATATTTGAAACGGCCGAGCGCTTTTAAATATGGCAAAACTTCTGGTATATTTTGTGAATTAAGCAGTAGTGAAGATGAGTTTCAAATAGACATTCATACAGACAAATTTTACATAATTACTAATCGCAGCAAAGAGAGTGATGAATGTGATGATGATATTATCCAACCAACAAAAAGAAGAAGTTCGACAAATTAAATGAAGAGTGGAAAAACATTAGCAAATGTGCCGATTCTCTTTCAATAATCAAGTTTGACCTACATCAACAAACACCCCGACTACAAATACCAAACAATATAAGACACCCAATAGATTATTTTACTTTATATTTTACAAATGAATTATTAGACAATATAATAGAAAAAACAAACCATTATGGCAGCACAAAAATGAACAAATATACTGACTAATCAGTGGCATATTCTAAATGCGAGAGAAAGAAAAGTTGTCTGTTTCGACAAAAAAGCACCAGGGGACGGCAGTTAACAACATTTTATTGTAAAACATGTCAAAATCAACCAGCTATGCATTTTGGAAATTGTTTTGAACGTCACCATTCTTTATAAAATGATCAAAAATAAATTAATACTTTAAATGTATGTCCTTCAATGACCACAAATTTTTATCAAACAAAATGCATAACATGCACAATGAAATCAAGTTTACAGCCAGTACAGTAGATTGTTTTGAAATCGGTGCCATCCCATAAGTGTTAATTTAATATTTATAATGATTTTATATTTTTATTTTAATTTTATAGACTCATGTACCTGGCTATGTTGCAAAGGCTGAAGAATTAAAAAAGAGTGGAATTGCTGAAATTCTTTGCGTCTCTGTTAATGATCCTTTTGTTATGAGTGCTTGGGGTAAGGATCAGCAGAGCAATGGAAAGGTATGCTTTCTAAATTTATTTAACTTAAATTTAAGTATTGCAATTCAATCAACTCTGATACACTAACTCAAACAATTCAAGTAGCAACAAAAACAAATATAAAAATATAACTATAAAACTGGAATAGATTGGTTCATATTTGCAATCCACAAGCATATTTACTTATCATATGTGCAAAAGATTTACTAATTGTTATTTATTAATACACCTACTTTTAATTGCCACATACTTGTACAATTTAATAGTTTTTCAACATTGAAAGTAATGTTATCAATAGTAATATCTTTTACAAGTTTTATTTTTAAAAATGTCTCATGTTTCTTTTGATTAATTGCAGCAGGAATTAATAATAAAGCCCTCACTGATAATAATTACTCAATACCTTTAGCCTTATTATAGGCTATGTTTGAAAACAAATGTATAATTAATTTGAAAAATATTATAGATATCATTGTATTCGAAAAGTACATACAAAGCTTTAAAATCTTTTTAAATATTTTGCTGCAGAAATAAATTTTCTCAAAGCTTTAGCTTACAAGTTGAAGTTCTATAGTTTTCGATTACAAAAGGAAATGCTAACTACGTCAAAATTATTTAATTATTTAAAAAATCATTGTTTTGCTGTAGAGTCTTTATCCATTTCTACTTACGCTCGTTGGAGGTCCCCTTGGCCCCAGGGCTCCATATGCCCATGCTGATGTCATAATGCTTACAATCTTATTAGACGATTACATTTGCTTTCAGTAAAATAATACTATTTTGTTATTTATTAACAGACCTACTGTAATTGCCATATATTTGTACAATTTAATAGTTTTTTAACATTGAAAGTAATATTATCAATAGTAATATTCTTTACAAGTTTTATCTTTAAAAATGACTTATTTTATAATGACTTCATTTTTATAATGACTTTTGATAGCAAGTTGAATGATAATGTTTTATATTTATGAAAATATTAAAAATTATCTAAGTAATATTTTTCACAGTGAGCAAATATTTGCAGTATATATATTAAGTTATTCCAGCCAATACTTCGAATAAAAAAATAAGTAATCAAAATCAATAAATATTGATAATACCAGTTTCTAATCGCTTAAATGTTTGCCATCTTTTTTATTCAATGTATTAGCTTCAATAGCATGTTCAAATTATATCAATGTTACATTCAAATGTTCTAATCAAATAACTATTTATAATAAAATAATCCACTTTTTTACATAAAACTAATAATTGATTCTCTTAGACAGAAGATTTGATTTAAATCTGAGAGGATGAGCTTAAATAATAAACATAATTTTTGAGTGGATGTAAATATAAAATTTGAAATTTATTGTGATTCTTTGAAAATTTGATAATTATTTAACTGGTATAAAAAAAATAGTTTAGCCAATTTTAATTGGAAAACTTAATACAAAACCAATATTTTTCTAAAGATTTTGGAAATAACAATGAACAAATGTGAAAAAAAATAGTATAAACGAAGTAGAAGCTACTCTCCATTTATAAAATAACCGGAACATCATATTAAATTATTTTTGTGATTTTTTCAATAGTGCTGTTTTCCTTCAGCTACTAATTATTAAGGATCAGTTAAAATGATTTTATTGTAATTTTTCAATTACTATCTCCTGCCTGATCTCTAGAATTTTTTAAAGCAATGGAAAAGATAATTTGTAAATACTATTGGGCGATAGTCTTCTGATTTAATTATTGATTAGAAACCAACAACATGACGTTATTGAAATTTAAAAAGATATATTTTTGATGATGATGGCGAAGACCAAGTTTCCATACATACATACATATATAAATTGAATTATGATGTCATAAAATTCAAAACGGCTTAATAAAAATATATACAAATGAATTGAAAAATTGTGATTGCCAAATCTATGAAGACAAAGGAATAAAATCATATATATTTTTTAGGTAAGAATGCTTGCAGATCCAAGTGGTACATTCACAAAAGAACTTGGATTGGGAGTTGAATTGGCGCCCTTAGGAGGTTTACGTTCTAAGAGGTAGGTCATTTTTATTTTATTAAATTAATCATAGTATTATAACATTTTTAAATTTTAGATACTCTATGGTGATAGACAATGGTGTCGTATCAGAATTGAATGTAGAACCAGATGGTACTGGACTTTCCTGTTCCTTAGCTGACAAACTTAAAGTTTAGAATATAGTAATTATTGTAAATAAGAGTTAATAAATATTAATGTAATATTTATTTTTTGCTTTATTATTCAGTGAGAACGTGAACTTCTGATTTTATTTATTTAAAAGTGTTTATTATGAGAGAATCATGTTTTTTTAAGTGTTTGTTTGTTATTTGAGAATCGTTATTTAAAATATAATTTCCAAATCTGCAAATGTAATGGCTAGAATTTTCAAAGTGTTCATTCAAATCACTTATTGTGCAATGCTTCAAAATGTTTTTCAACAAATTATTTAAAATATAGTATATATCATAGATAAGATATATATATATATATATATATATATATATATATATATTTTGTATGATTCTGAATTTGATGTTGACATATGTATTAACAAAGTCTAATAATCGGGCATAACATCAATAAAAAACATGAATTTCTTTCAAAAATTTATTTTAAATCCATACGTTTCGGCTATAATCTTAGCCTTCATTCAGTGGAAACTAAAAATAAAATTAAAAACTAAAACAATTGAATTGGAGTGAAAAGAAAAAATAAAATAGTAAATAGTACTTACAATTAGTTGATCTTAGTGACTAATAGTAAGTACTATTTACTATTTTATTTTTTCTTTTCACTCCAATTCAATTGTTTTAGTTTTTAATTTTATTTTTAGTTTCCACTGAATGAAGGCTAGGATTATAGCCGAAACGTATGGATTTAAAATAAATTTTTGAAAGAAATTCATGTTTTTTATTGATGTTATGCCCGATTATTAGACTTTGTTAATATATACGAGTATATATATATATATATATATATATATATATATATATATATATATATATACATGTACAATTTTTGAAATTCAAAGCATTTTTAGAAAAAAAACATTTTTCCATTATCATTGTTCTGGTTCAAGTTAGTGGTGTAGAAGAAATTCGATCAAAAGTTCTGAGTTTATTTCTTGTCTGCAACCTGATATTGAGTAGTAGTATTTTTTTGCATTTCAGTTGAAAATACATATTGAATATAATTGCAAAGGAAAATAGTACTTTCGATCCAATCCAAAATAAAATAAAGTTTATTTCAAAAATAAATCAAAATTGAATTTTGATGGATAGCATTTGCACCTGTTCAGAAAATTAGAAACAAATTAATAAATAATTCGATTTTACAATTTTGAAAAAATTTAAGAAATTAATTTGGAAATTTAAATTTATTTATTTATTTATTTAAATTAATTGTAGAGTCCTTATATTTCAGTATAAATGTACATTTATTATATTTTTTCAATAGGTTTATTGATATTTAACAATTATTATAAAGCCTGAAATAACATATTAAACTATTACAGACCTACGACAAGCGGTTGAATGATAAAAATTCATCAAAGTTTAGAATTGCTCCTTGCGCTTAAGCGATTCTAATCAGAATCTATGCCGAAGCATCTGTACGACAAGTTTATTTAATATATTAGTTTCAAAGATATCAATTGAAATTTGTTTTTAAAAAAAGTGAAGCTTAATATTTGAAATAAACAGCTGAACATTCAATCTTAATAGCCAATTATTGTTGAAAAAGTTGATCATTCACATTTATCGGAAAGTTTATGCAACTTGCCTTAAGGCAAAATGCTACCTACAACTTGTTATAATTCTCCGATTTCATTAGCTTTCCGTAAGGTAAATTATAGTTATGATGTATATGTGTGAATGTGTGTGGGTGCGTGTGGGTGTGTGTACTTGTCTGCGCGGATACAAATTTTCGTCGACGATTTCGAGATCACCGATCAACCGATTTTAATAATTCAAATTTGTACGATTTGTACGATTTCACGATTTGTATTGATAAGGAGACGTGCTGATTAGTTTTTGGCGAAGGCAGGTCTAGCCGTTCCGAAGACACGGAGCAAAAAGTGCCAAAAACGGTAACTCAGTTTTTGAGAGAACGGAGCGTTTCAAAAATCATTTTATTTGTTGACAAGATAAAGAACTGATTAAATTTTTAAGAAGGCAGATCCAGCGGTTATGGACTTTCGATAAAAATAAGTTAAAAAAATGTCATTTGACGGTTAAAAATGTTTATTGGATATATGTACATCAAATTATCGGATATTTTATAGCGATTTTAATAATGTGTACACATTTTGTGTAATTTTTTTTGGGTTCTGTACCAAAATTTTTAATCACGGTACGGGAAGTTCCAGCAATTTGCTTTAAGGCATGATAGTTTTTAAATCTTTTGAAAACAAAATGTTTTCAAGTATATCATGTTCTATGAATACGAGTTTATGCATATGAACATAGATGAAAGAAGAGCATATGAATCCGATCTTGACGTTTATTTTCCTTTTCCCAGCCCTGGTAAAATTCAGATTTACACCATCACACCTTGAAGTTGGCTACGCATAACACAACCATGCGTGAATTCTTTAGTTATTGTACATATTAATATTATTTAGTATACCCTTAAGAAACCTTCTGTAAGAATGTGTGAATCTAAATAATTTATGCAATGATTTATCATTGCGTAAATAAACATTTATAATTGTGTGTAATAAAATGTCACATGGGATAATTATTGTGCGAAATGTTATGAAAACTTTTATTTACATAAACGGTGTAAATGTTTTGATTTTAGTAAAATGTTGCGCTGTTTAAAAGTGTTACTAGCTGTGTTTTTGAGTTTAATGTTTACTGTTTCCTTGGCCAAATTAGTTTTATGTTTATGGAGCACATTGTATGTGAGTGACAAGAGCGAAGCTGACGAGTGGCTTGAAGAAAATACTCTGGGACAATATAAACAAATATTTAGAGAGCAAGGTAGGATTTATTATAATTTAAACAATATATTTTATATTGAAAGTTTACCCCGTGAATTGTTAAAAAGGGATTGGCAATATTAAAATATATCATACAACATTTGTTTATCTAATGCATTTAGTATTTTCATGTAAAAAATTGTTTACATTTGACTAAATGTCAAATTGAAGTAATATTCCTAGGTTATTAATTATATTTTGACAGTTTGTCATCACATTACACTGCGCATGTGCAAATTTTGACAAGGGTTACTATTTGCTATCACCTGAAATCATATCTATTTATTTATTTATGATACGATCATTTATTATTCATTTTTCTGAATTTATTTATGTTGTGAAGATATCATTACTATTTTAATTATTTTGTTCAAACTTTGACATTTTTTTCTATGCAAATTTCAAATGAAAATCAATTGTTTGTGGTCTTGCGCATATGAATCCGTTTCAAAGAATATGTTTTTAAGGAGAGCGAGGCTTAAAGACCCGCGGGTAAATAGGTCCACCACCGATTTCTCAAAAACAAGTATTTTTAAGAATTTTTCAAAAACAATATTTGAAAGTATAGGGGAAAAGATGTGTAATCAACCACCACCTTGATTCTTACAACGTCGCTATAAGGGAGATGAACGGCAATGCTTGAAAATCCATATGAAAAGTATTTTCTTTTGTTGTTACTTCTTTTTTGTTATGAGCTCTGTTGTTTAGCTTACGAAACCTTAGTATAATTTTTAAGTATACTATATTTTTTGTATAATCCCGCGGTTGCCAACCTGTGGGGCGCGCCCACTTAGGAAGGCGCCAGACCGTTCTCAGGGGGGCGCGTAAATCTGTTTTTAGAATACTAAAAATAACCCAAAAATTTTGAAATGATTTCAAAAAACTAGTGGCAAATTGCTGGAACTTCCATAGGAATATTAAATGTATTCAAATAGATTATTATTAATAAATACCTACTATAACATTATCTAATATTAATAAGAATTAAATAAACTGAATTGCAAAGTTGAAATTATTTGTTTAAAGTATATTAGAACTTAAGTCAGAATTAAACTTAAAATCTGAATTATTTTCGATATACAAAAAAAAATTTCTTTGAAAAAGATAAAAAAATTGAAGCTAAAATTTTTTTTCCAAAAGCATTTATTTTGTTAAAACAAGCAGAAAGTTCTTCGAATCATTCAAATCAGACGCTTAGTTCTTTCAAAAACTGCCATTTTTTGCATATTTAGCTCAGTATCTTCGAAATTGCTGGACTTGCCTTTGCCAAAAACTAATCACCTCATCTCATAATCATTACAAACTCAATGTTATTTAGATCATTCAAATCGGATACTCCGTTCTCTCAAAAACTCGATTTGTATTTTCTGCACTATTTACTCTGTATCTCCGTAACTGCTGGACCTGTCTTTGCCAAAAACTAATCAGCACATTCTCCTATCAATAAGAATCGAATGCTTTTTGAACCATTCAAATCGGTTAATCCGTGCGCCCGAAAACGTGGATGAAAAAAGCGGTCATACAAAACACACGCACATTTTTTCTGAGGTATGCCAAAGTGTTCAGAAACCTTCAAAACGTTAGATTTTCTATTACTATAAATACCCTATGGGAAGTTCGATTACTATAAATACCCTATGGGAAGTTAATAATGCCTGATTTAGAGAAGTATACCTAATCGCTGTAAACCATTTTGAAGTAAGAAACTATTGCAAATTGATTTTTTCAAATATAGTAATTATTTTTTTGAAAAATGGTTTGAATATTACACATTGATCGAAAAAGAACATACGAAATACGAATGAATGGTGAATTTTTTAAAAGCGCGGCCAAATAATCCAAACTTTAATTATCATAAGTAAACCACTTGTCGCAGGCCTTAATATAGTTTAGTACGTTCATTTCGGGCAGAAACTCTATCGCCATGCAAAGATTTACTTAAATCGCCAGAAAAAATGACAATCTATTATGAAAAAGAAACGACTTGACTGATCTTTGCATTGACAGAAACCATTTATTTCCAACTGATATCAATATAATAATAGTTTAAGCCAAAATGTTTAAGAATTTTTGACAAAAACATGGACGATAATTTTTGCATTTTTCTGTCAATAGTAAAGAAACGGATCAACCAATTGTTTCAAAAAACTAATCAACGCAAGCGCTTATCCAGTTTCGTTTTATAGTTTTTAAATTTTAATATCGGTTCAGACGAGAAAACGTCGAGAAAAGGTCAAATTTT